GAACACGATAACAAACTGGTCCAGGAAGGGATGAAAGACCCTATTCATAAGGTCCATAAACACGGCTGGGGCATTACTGAGTCCGAACGGCATGACTACGAACTCATAGTGCCCATAACGAGTACGGAAGGCAGTCTTAGAAATATCCGACTCCCGGATCTTCAGCTGATGATGGCCAGAACGCAAGTCGATCTTCGAAAATACACTGGCTCCTCTCAACTGGTCGAAGAGATCCTCAATGCGAGGAAGGGGATACTTGTTCTTGACTGTAAGGGCATTCAACTCTCGATAGTCAATACACATGCGCATCGATCCGTCTTTCTTCTACACGAATAGGACGGGCGCTCCCCACGGCGAAACACTCGGACGAATGAAACCAAGATTGAGCAACTCCTGGATATGGGTCTTGAGCTCTTGAAGCTCCTTCGGCACCATACGATAAGGGGCCTTAGAAACAGGGCCGGCTCCTGGTACTAGATCAATGGTAAACTCCACTCGACGGTCGGGCGGTCCTCCGGGCAATTCATCAGGGAAGACATCAAGATACTCGCAGACAATAGAGACTCTCTCCGGGGACCTCTCAGAATCGTCCTTGGATATTATAGAAACCTGATAGCCTTGACAGCTACCCTTAGAAAGGCTCTTCCTAGCTTGCATCGAAGAGATGACTCGAGGCACAGTCCTCGACTTCACCCCATAGAAAATAACAGGCTGATCGGGAACGGGGAAGAGACTGACTTCGCGCTCCTGGCACCGGATATCGGCTCGATAGCGAGTGAGCCAGTCCATGCCCAAGATCACATCGAAGTCCCGCATTTCAATCACATAACAATCGGCCTCCAAAACACGCCCACCAACACTGACTCGAAGACTGGAAATCATAGAATCGGAAATAATGATCTTTCCCGAATCTAGACTAACCTCGATAGGGTCGCAGTTGCACACATTATCAATAGACAGGGCATCCAAGCATCAAGAGGAGATAAAGGAATGAGTAGCTCCAGTGTCACATAACGTAAAGATAGGCACATTAATAAAAGAAGTCTAGAGTTCGACACTAGAGTTCGCATTTAAAGGTGGATTAGTCCTAACCCCGATTTCATTCCAATAATCAATAATCAACCAATATACAATTATCTCAAAGTCATTCAGGTACTCATACCTGAGTTGGCGCGGCACGACGAGAGCGAGTGGTCTTAACATGAATTCGAAACATATAATCACATAATCAACTTTTATACTTAAACCAATCTACAGAAACGCAGACTGGCTCTGATACCAAACTGTAACGCCCCACTTTTATTTACCGAAAATCAGAATAAATTTTTTTGAATTTATTTCAAAAACAATATTCGAGGCGCTACTCATTTTCAAATCAATAATCAATACTCGAAATTTTCTCAATATTCGGCAATTATCGATACTCATAATCAATAAGAAAATCCCAATAATCAATCAATAGTCCAATAATGATCCTAGGGAAATAATCCCTATCAATAATCTAATACTAGAAAAACAATAGTCAATAATAATGCAATAATATCCAAATTTAGTCCAAA